GCTGGTAAGCAGAAAGAGGGAGTCAGACGGGATAGAGAGAGGTGTCCCTAGTTGGCAATATGGGGAAGGCTCATAAACAACACAAGCTATTCCTGGCCCTGTGTCCTCTTCAGCTGTACTTCAGACACAAGTCAGGCTTATTATTCCCTCCTTGCATGGATGCCCCTCCAAAAACCAGCACAATCCACCAACCAATTCAACAGCTGGCTGTAAGAGCAGCCTTGGGACTTTCACATAACTGGGCTTGGTGAGTCACCTTCCAAAGCACAAAGTTTGAAATTAAGACTGTAGTTATTAACAATGCACCTCTTATTCATACTAGAATATAAAAGGTATGTCAATAAATATATTCCATCACATATTTTGGAAGTCTCAGATAAATAAAACTACCTAGATTTTTAATACATGATCAGATGACTGAGTTACACCCTCAGGCAAATCTGGACCAAGCGTGCAAAGACCACCTCATCCTCCAAACCTATACCTTCAATGCAAAGGTCCCAGCTACAGTTCTCCAGGTTGTGAATCACAGATGGACAATCTAGATAATTGTCCTTTCCAGCACCAAGTTACTAAACAGTTGCCAATTTAACAGATGTACAGCAGCACATTTTGTCTACTTTTTTTTTTTTAAGTATACACTAGAAAAGTCACCCAGTGCTGCTTTATGCTTCAAGCACAGCTTCAGTCTTGTTCCAAGCCACAAGAAAGAGGAAAAAACCCGCCCCACTCCCTCCAAACAGATAACTGAATATCAAACAAATCTATTAGCAATGCTCCTTCTAGAGGTGGACCAAGCCCAAAATATGCAAGAAGAGGTTTGATAGAGTTTGAGGGAAGCAAGACCAGGAAAGTAGTATTGTAACAGAAGATGAAAACATAGAGCACATTCACTGATACCATTCTTAGTAACTCCAGAAGTCTGACACCTGACTCTGATGACCTAAGGCTCTGTCCCTACAGCTCTGATCCTACTAAATACAGCTTATTTCACAGGAAGTAGAGTGGAAATAGCTACAAAAGGAACCTACTCAACATCAGCACTTCCTAATTTCTAGTCAGTATTCTTTTAGGGGATAGACAAAAACCAAAACCAAAACAATAAACAAAAAAACCCACCCAAAAACAACAAAAAAGCAAGCTTTGAGGTCAGCCTCTTCCTGAAAAATTGCATGTAAAAAACCAAACCCACACCACACTTTGGCCAGGGCAAACCAAACACTTATTCAGTACCTCCAGCACAAATCATGCAACAATAGCTGAAGGCTTTGATACACACCTCTGGGTACATACCCTTCACATCAACTTCAAAGGAAACTTTTTCTTTACTTTTCCACATAGGAAGTGGATTCACATGCTGGATCCATAATCCCTTTCTTCTCCTCAGCACCAAAGCCTCGAATTCCACTCTAGATCATGCCATGACAAGTTCTAGCTGTTCTAAGAGAAACCAAGACTAAGGAAGTAGCCAGTCAAACATCACAAGTGTGTATTACATCAAGTCTCTTCCTTTTAAAGATCTTTTACATCTTATGGTTTCCTGATATTACTCATTTTCTGGTAGAGGTCACTAACTTTACTGAAACAGTCAGGCTCCTCTTCTACTTAGAATATGCAAAGCATAACACTGGAGGGGAACATCATCTTTCAGACAAACTAAGAAAAAGGGAAAAATTAAGAGAACAACCCAGAAGAGGTCACCCTGACTACCCTTCAGAGAGTATCTACCTTCAGAAAGAAAACTCAAAACATGGAAGTCACCATATTACACCACAAGCACTAGCAGAGGTTCCAAAAAGAGATTCCTTTGTTCTGCTAGTTGGTTTCCCCTTAGATCACTTCAATACCACCTTTGTTTCCAGGCCCAGCTCTTACTTCCCAATTCCCTGCTACAAATAGCTTCCACCCTTAAGCAGTGCAGGGTTTTTTTCTTAATAATAAAAAACAGCTTCCACTCCCAAAGGTTAAAGCATTCTCCCCTCCCCATACACCTAAGCTTTGTCTCAGCTTTAAACCAAAGTATTACACTCTGTGAGGCAATAAAAGGGTCTCTCCCAGCACTTAACTCGCACTGTTAAATGGAAGGCAAAAAAATAATTAGGAAGCCAGAATCCAGTTGCTCCAGGTTCCTTACCTCTCACCTACTCAATTTGCAAATCCAGGGCATGGGAAAAGTCCAAATCGCTACATCTAAAGACCACTAGTGCCATCTGCAGGCCACACAGAACAGCCCACCTAAAGGCTGTTGGACTACTCATCTTCCAGGAAGGTACTTCCAGACACATGAAGGATAAAACAATTATTGGGAATAGCAAGCATACATTTTCCGAGAGCAGATCCCCTCTGATGCCTCCTGCTTGCCTTCTAGGATGACATGAATGGTTCTGGGGACAAAGGGAGAGCAGTAGATAGCATGGCTCAAGACCTGAGCACTCAAATGGCCCCTGTAAAGCTAGACAAATGGGCTAAGGGAACCCTCACGAACTTTAGCAAAAACAAATGCAAGTCTCTTCACCTGGGAGGAATAACCCTGTTCAACAGTACAGGCTGGGTGGATAGAAAGCTGCTCTGCAGAACAGACAAAGCAGTCCTGTGGACAACACGTTGAACATGAATTAGCAGTTTGCCTCTGCAACAATGGCTAACTACGTGCTGGCCTGTATCAGTGAGAGTGTAGACAGTAGGCTGAGAGAAGTGATTAGTACCTCTTACTTGTGAGTGCTTAGCAAGCACTGGACACACATCTGGAACGTTGTGTCCAGTTATGAGCCCCCCATTACAAACAGAAGTTTTGACTAAGTGCTGCAAGTCTGGCAGAGAGCTATTAAAATGGGCTGAAAAATATGATGTACAAGGAGAAGTTGAGAAGATTGTTCAGCCTGCAGAAGAAGCCTAAGAAGGCTAAGAATAGATCTAACTGCTGTGTTCAACTACTTAATGTGTGGCTACAAAGACAGAGCCAGACTTCTCTCAAAGGTGCATCGCAGAAGGACAAGAAACAGTCAAACTGCAACACGGGAAAATCTGATTAGATATAAAAAACACAGACACATTCACAGTGAGAATGGTCAAACATTGCAACAGGTTGTCAGGAAAGACTATGGAACCTCCATTCTTGGAAAATATTCAAAACTTTATGGTGTAAGGCCATAGAGCACCTGCTCAAACTTTGAAGAAGGTCTTGTCTTGAGAATGAAGTTGGACTAAAAACCTCCAGACTTCCCTTCCCACCTAAATAATTTGATGGTTCTATCTTAAGGGATTCACTAGAACTGTCTGACCAGTGTATTTCAGTCAAAAGAATATACTTGTTTCCTTCTTCATTTCCTTTCCTAGACCTCTAATATGACTAGAATTTGTAAAAGAAAAAAAAAAAAAAAAAGCATACACATCCCCACATACACCTCCCGTGCCAGCAAAACATGTTACTCTACTGGGAGAGACAAAAGTGCTATCTAGCATGGAACTGGCACACTTGCCCCCAGACTGGAACACTTGTTCCTTACACAGATGGATTTCTCCAGAAGTAAACTCCTTTGTTACAACTCAATCAGCCAAACTACCTTTAAGACATTAATGATGGTGCAAACCCTATTTTGGAGGCCTGCTACGCACTGCTCATTTTCAAAACATCCTAATAATCTACTCCTTTAATCACAGTGGATGATCTTGTTTCCCGCTTCACTTTCCAATAATATGCAATATTAGCAATTAACAGTTTAATTGCTGATTCCCAAGAGAAAACTCTTGTATGCCAGGCATGTTTAAGGCTCCTTTTCTAAAGTGAATATAGTTGTCAAGTTTTCCACTGACCACAAATCACAAAATCACAGAATCGCAGGGGTTGGAA